ATGCAGCTGTTTCCAGTGTCATAGGTGAGAGAAACGTTAACTGCTAGTTGATGCTTGCATGCAAGTAGTTGTTGCTGCATTCAACTGCAGCATTCTTCAGGCTGTATTCACATAGGACAGCTAAATTTGTTCTAACTGCATTTGTTGTAACGCATTTTAGCTCTGTTAATACACCATTAGTGATGCATCAAGCTCTCACTTTAAGTATCCAAAGTGACTGATGGATTATTTTCGGTAATACTAGTGGGGATTGTGCATCTATTATTTGGCAGTCATCTCTATTTTTGACATAAAATATCCTGGTTTTATTTCTTGTAATGACATGGTTGTATTCTCTTCCATGCCTGGAATTTACACTGATCTAGACACTTGGTTTTTGGTTTTCTCTCTGCCCTCCCTCCTCCCCCCACAATGACTGTTCAGATTATTTATATTTTTGTGGCAATAAACCACTACTGATAGTGTTTAATATTCTATTAGTAGTACTTTTTGCTACCACTTGCATTTGTGTGCAATTTATATTACTGCCAGTAATATTTTCCAGTTCTAACACCTCTGCTTTAGAAAAGCTAAGCTTTTCTATTGCTTCCTTTCACAACTAATCATCACAGTTTACTTCAAGATTGGTTTGAGAAGTTCCAAGATTTAATATTTCACCTTTGTCCGTTCTTGGTTACATTCATTTTCATCAATGTGGAGTCAGAGTATTCTGGTCAGTTCTGGTAGTATAATTTTTAGTCCACTGGTAGTAGTACATCTTTGAAAAAGAAAACTTCTCTTTATAATGGAGCATTATTCTCTGCGTCTTAAGACACAAACCATATTACTGATTCATTGTAATAATTTCTAATAGTCTTCCAAATGGTGGAAACAGAGATGCTCACTTTTTTCATTCATTGCTGTTAATCATAGGAAAGACATCTGTCCCCAACAAGATAGACTTGTTTCTCTTGGGAATAAAGCCAACTTTTACCAGATCTGTTTTTCTTTATTACCTTTATTTGCTCATGTTTTCCTCTTGCTTTTTGACTTCAAACTTCAGCTGTGGCAATTTACCTGCAAAGAATGATATCTCTCCTTCTTTGTAGGTGTGCATTTGATGAAACCAAAACCAGGAAAAGCAGAACTAGGCAATGTATACTTAACAAACTCGTACAGCTGAAGCGGTTTACTTTCTCTTCTGTGCTATCTGTGGAAGACAAAACCAGCCAAGACTGTTACCGATAGGTGCTTTAGTTCCCCAAACTAGAACACTTTCCTTGCTTGCCTTACTTTAGTTGCTTTAATTCCATTTCTGCTTCCTTATGTATCCAAGTTACTGTGCTAAACAACTGTTCACCAGGCCCCCAAACATGACTGTCACCCATTGGTTCCACTCTTAAATTAGCAGTTGTTGCATTTAGGCATAGACTTTTTTTTTTTTCCCCAACTTTTAAGTGCTAGTTCTAACATCAAATTCGATCATGCACTGTGTGTTAACTTTTAGCTTTCAAAGTTAACTCTGTCTCAATTCCAATTGAATTGTTAATTTTTCCTGTGGAAACCTTTGTGTACGTATACTATAACTAACTGTCATCTGTTAACTTCTTACCTGCTGGTAACGCTTGTTTTTCTTTCTTCTTTACTTTTATGACACCTAGACTCCTTTTATGCATATGCTTGCATACACTTCCTTGGAAACACATAACAATACTGTTACTAAGCCCAAAGTGTTTCTTTTTGTATTGATATCCCTTAGAGGATCACTCTGCAAAATCGAGTGTTACCCCACCCATTAGGTGGTTATATTTGTGACTTGCTTTTCCAGGATGTAACTGAAATTGCTGAATAAAGGTGTTTCTAAAGCTGCTTTCACTGTGCCATTGGGGTAGGTTTTTTCATGAACAAACAACAAATAGGCAAATAACATGATTGCTTATGATATATTAAAATAAACCTGCGTTGCTTCCAGTTAACTGCAAGTTCAACTTGCAGTTTGCCATTCCTGTATCTGCTTGCATAATCTTGCTTATATGTAGGTTACTTTTTGGGTTTTTGTTTGTTCTGAAGTTAGACAACAAGGGGATGGAGTTGAAATTGCCTTGGGAATAGCCTGGTAGACATTTGTAGCAACTCCTGAGGGTTTTATGAGTTCGGCTGTTACTACAATGTGCAGCTATTACCTCATTTTCATCAATTTTTGTGGTTATTTTGATAATGCTTTGATCCATCTTTTGTGAAGGAGCTTGTAAAGGGAGAGAGAACATCTCTGGTGGAACTGGATCCAGAGGTACCGAACCCCTCTGAGGCCCAAAGCTCAACGCCTTCCACTATAGGTCTCGCACTGATGGCTGCAACTATCCCTTGTGTCTCCTGTTATGCTTTCTTCAAAGACTGAATTCAGTTTTGGTAACTTGGGTTATCTTGTTCAAAAAATTGCTGTTTCTCAGTCTGAACCTCTCGTTTTACTCGTTCAGGGATTCTCTTGTATATGGTTCTCTGTTAACTTGATGGTGGTGAACATGCATGGATTTCCATGCAGAAAAACAAGACAGAAGACGACTGCTATCTGTAAAGGCAGAATCTGGGATGAGGTTAGCTTTGATGATGTGTGCATCACAGTGAGTTGTTGTCTGGCTAGAGTTGGTTAATATTGAATAAAACCCTGTTTTTTTTTGTTTTGCCATGTAGGAAATTGAGGTTTAAGACACATATGAGAAAGTGGAAGGACATGTTAGGTTAGACATACTTTGTCTTTGCCTGCATCCTCTGTGTAGGTTTGTTGTATTTAGTATGTTTTATAGCATTTTGTCTACATTATTGACATTTGCAGAACTGGAAACCATTTCATCAAGAAAAAATTCTTGATATTTGTCAAGGTTTGCATTTTAAATGCAACTGGAATTGCATGACACTTTTTAATATGATAAAAAGATATAAGAATTCTTTATACTGCTGCTGTTTTATTTGTTGCTCTCTAGGGAGAGTGCCAATAGCTACAGGCTTTTTGTATATGCACTTAAATTTCCAGATATGGGAGGAAAGGTGAGAGGGAAGGGAGAAACATAAGCTATAATACTAATTTATTCCTTCTTCTCTTTAAAAAGTGTTTTGAATTTCATTTGGGGAGGAGGGGAAATCACAGTGACAGTTGTATTGAAATTGCTTCGGCTACATTGTGGAACAGATTGACAAAGCCAAGTCGGTTTTGTTTTTGTTTTGCCTTCCTTTTTTATCTTCCACAAATGGCAATTTGACTCTGGCATTCAGAATTGTCATCAGGCTGTAAGATAAAGTAGCATGCCCGGCTTTGCTTTTTCAGTGAATTCAACTGTGAGGAAGCTTTTGACCTTCAGAGAGGCAGAGGGAAGAATTACTGTTTTGACACAAGATGCTCGAAGAGTGTTGTACTGACGTCACTTGCTGCTTTAAGCATCGAGCACCTGCTTCTCTGCCTGCAAAACCTAGGTTATATCTGAGCGTAATGAGCCCCTAAATCATGGTAAGCATCCAAAATATGATAGCAATGATCTTTCTGCCTCCTGAAGAAAATAAGTTACTGAAAACATTAGAGTTCATGTGCTGTAAGATTCAAAAAAGCTGGAGGAGGTAGAACATGTGACATGGCTGGAGTTATATTTTATATATTAAAAAAAAAAAAATTAGTTTTGTAACCCCAGTTAAATGTCATCTATTAAACTCCATAATGGTGATTCTACAGGTCATCTCTGCAGGTTGCTGCAGGGGGCAAGCTGGAAGAGAGGGTTTCCACTAAGGACGTGGCTGCAGTGAATCTCGACTATTCTCTTTCTTCCTTTTATTTTTTTCTGTTCTCTTTTTTCCTCACTTTTTTTTTTTTTTTTTCCCCTGGCCTTGTCAATCATCTGCTGCTTCAAGTCAGTGATCACCACCACAGTTCCTCCGACTGGAAACCTCTGGGGAAGCGTAGGGTACTGTCAGCCTAAGGCAGATTTCTGCTACGTGGCAAAACCAGAACGCTCTTTGGAGAAGCCAGAGGAGCAAGACTGCCTGAAATGGAGGCTAGTCTGAGGGTACAGTTTTGCAGTATATTTAGTCAGCTGAAGACTGCTACCAAAAACTAAGAGTCTGGCTTTTCCTTGTCCTGCGTACTTGTTTCTGCTGCATCACTTCTGCTAAACCCACCCTGTGGATCGGTGCAATCAGATCAGCTTGCTGTTCAGACTGAAATGTAATGGTAGAGTTGGAAATGGAGATGGTTATGTTTCAACTGGATCAGAGTTCTGTTGCCTGTGCAAAAAAAGGAGGGGGAAACACATCTCTGGGCTGGAGTGGAGAGACTGGGGCTGTCCCGTCTTGCAGAGGGGTAGACTTCTTCAAGTGGAGGTGGAGAACTCGGGGGCTCTTGGTCAGGACTACATGTAAGAGGCTGAGGGGAGAGGGAAGAGAGAATTGAAGTAAAACTTGTTGGTGCTGTTCAAATAGCTGTTGAAACCATTACCGATCTATCTAAATGGCCTCAAACATTTTACAGAGAGCCAGCTCTGTTGCTGTATCGTGTCGGTGCACGCAGAAGTGTCTTATTTGTCACCTAGGTTTGCGTAGCTTCACTGTTTCACGTTGGACTTTTGTTACGTATTATCTGAACTGAAATGCTCTTAATGACTAAATTTCTGTTCTTGTATACATACGTACAAATGTAATCAAGTCACCCTTAATCTTCTCTTTGATTATACTAAACAGATGTAGTTCAAGGAGGCTCTTGTGATGAGGCATGTTTCTTTAATCTTTTAACTGTCTGATCCTCTCGTGATATTTACAAATACGGAGTTATGGTCATCACAACCTGCAAATACCATTTCAATAGTAGTTTTGGTACAAGATTGGAAAGAATAGTACCTGTTACTACTTATTCACTAATATTCTTTTTATATATATATGAAAAATTTGCTTCCCATTTTGGATACGGTATTGCACTGACCTCCTTTTGGTGCTTTGTTCATCATGACCCCAAGCCCTCATTCGAGTTGTTGCTTTCTGAGGTAGTCCTTGACTCTCTTGGGTTTGCCGGGATGCTTTGTTCCCACCAATGTACGGCTGGAGTTCAGTTATACTAAAACTCATATCTTTTGCCAGGCTGTGATGCCAGGTGACCCAGACTGCCCTGTATCAATGGTCTGTGCAGTGAGATATTTATTGCTTGGCAAATCTGCGTCATCTTTGTGCCTTCTCTGTAAGAACTTGGGGATTTCTGAAGTTTTGAGTAGGGCAGGGACAAGAAGGGCTCTTGAAGGGACTCACTAGATGCAGTGAGGGTTTCCTGTTTATAATTCTACTTGGAGAATGCTAAATCATTTTTCATCCGAGTGCTGGGTTGACTTTCTTAATACAAATGTTGAGTGGTACTTAAATTTTTTTGTTGATATATCTTTAAAGCATTGATTTATCAGCCAAATGTGATTTATGGGAGGGGTGTGTGTATATGTACCTGTGTATATGCACATTTATTTTATCAATATACGTGTAAAGGCATTAAAAAAATTGTTTGGCAAGATCTATTTTTGAGAGCATTTGTCAGCTTTTTTTCAATTATTTTTGGTTCCCTCAGTCTTTTTTGTTTCTTCATTTACAAAAACAGCACACTCAGTCTTTATTGTGCGGAAAAGCTTTTTCTTTAATCACTCCTGATTTTCAATTTAGTTTGAAAACACATTTTCATTCAAAGTGAAGAAGTTAAACTGAAAATCAGGAAAGCTTATTTTCCTCTTGTAATGTATGAATAAAAATGAGATGCCAGTTCTGAAAACATGAAGTGTATCATGATGTGAGATGACAAATCTAATTTGATAACTGCAATTACTATTGCCTTTGTTCACTAATATAATTTTAAATGTAAAACAAGATTTGGGAGGGGAAAAAAGTACATTTAACACCGCTGAGATAGTTTAGATTTCAGCCTGCTTAATGTTTCTTAAAATACATGGTTTTGCGTCTTTAATGCAATTCTATAGCCAAGCTAACTGTGGTTAATCTACTCAGTATTTTCAAGTATAACAACAAAAAATTGTTTGAGTACACGTACACTAAACAGAATAAATGCATTGTAAATATTGTCTACTCCTACTTAGTGGTTGGGAATAAGGAATCTAATGTGGAAGGTCTGTTTGGTTCTAAGTCAGTATCAGCCACTGAAAACAAACCTCTTTGTTTTCTGTAGAGTGCATTTTAAATAAATGCTAAGGAGATTACAGTGAGTTAGATCAGTCTCCTGTTCCACGATTTGAAATCATGATTCAAATTGTGATTAAAATCATGGAAGTACCAATCAGTCTGGTATATTAGACCACGATCTAGATTGTGCCCTATAATATAACAGAGCCTTGGGGCACTGTTGTATTAGAAATGAGACATCCCTGACCTTGTTCCTTATTTTCTTGGCTCCTGCTTTCTCTATGCTGAAGCTGCCATTTTCCCCTGTACTTTTTTTACGCCTCTCTGTGTGTTATAATTATTTATTCGTCCAGCTTTGCACAGGTGCTTACCAGTTTCCATTGGAACCTTTTCTGAATGCTTCCTCTTGTCAAATTGCTCAGCAGTAGCTATTCGTACCTATTTTTTTTAAGATGCATATAATTTCCTTTCCTATAAACTTCCAAAAAAGCAAGTGGCTTTTTTTACTTTTCATTCGTGTTTGGTATTGCAAATAGTTTACATGAAAGGGAAATAGAGTGGTGACTAGTGCAATGAACTTATCTAATAAAGCTAAATTCTCCCCCTTACTTTAAAGAGATACTGGGTGCTAGAAAAATGAAGACTCTCACTTAAATTGCTGTAGCATGTTTGTGCTATTTGTACTACAGATGCTAAAGTATAAATTTGGCTTCCTCTGGGAGGCATTGGGCTGGCCATGTGGTGGAGACAGCTGCTGAGATGGAAGGGAATCTTTGAAACTGTATAGCAATCATATTATTTTTCTAGCTGCTGATGAGGTAGGACTAGGGGGCATCCACATTTTGAGCCAGCTTTGCTGTGTGATGAATTTAGAATTATTTCGGTCCATGTAATTATCCTCTTGCTACATAGTGTTCTAAAGTAATTTAAAAAATGTTAATTGGAAGTATTAAATTAAAAATGAATCAGAAAGGTCATCTTGTGGTTGGATACCACTTATCAGGTGATGTAATACAGGCTGTAGAAAGCCTCAGGATAAAGCTGACGTAATGTAAACTTGATTTTTTTTTTTTTTTTTTTTTGTATGTAACGGTCATCTTATCTGATGTGATTGTGCTTCTGTGAGTGATACAGAGTATAGCTTGTCTGAGATGATTGAAAACTAATTAACCTAAATTAAATGAATGTGAATTCAGGTTCTGGAAGTCATACTCTTGATGACAAATAGCTTTTTTGCCTTAAAAAAAAATAAATGCTTGCTTTGATAAGTATTGGAAGTAATTTTTTTTGCATCCATCAAATGTGTATGTAGTCATTTACGCTATCAGATACCAGTTTGTAGTTGTTTTTATTCTTGTGGTATAAAACATTTCCATTTATTTTTGTAAGCAATGAACTCAAAAAAGAAGTGCCAGCTACCTCAAAGAACAAAGAAATATATGATGGAAACTAAAATTTATTGCTACAGTAGTAGACAGTGGTACTAGTATAATTGTGATGACTAGGTTTTATTATTACTTGTATCTTGAAACTCTAAAGACAAAAACCAAACCTATGCAGCCTTTGCTGTAAGCACACAATTTATGGAAAAATGGAGACTGGGAAAGGCATCAGTGAGGATCCTTGGTTTTTAAACAAGTCAATGGTGATCTGAGTAGAAGCCCTGTGGACATTCTCCAGCATATGCAGAATATGTGGAAATCACGAAGGGAGGTACTGACTGGTGAGTTGAAAAGGATAGCGATGTGTGTAAACAGAAGTTTAGGGAGAAGAGGGTAACTTAGAGATGTCAGTGTCATGTAGCATTTTTAGATTGATGAGAAGAAACCTCAATTTGATAGATGATAAGAAAGCTAAATTTAATACATGAGGGAACATGCTTCAGCAGATTATTTAAATGATGGGATTACATCATTTTCACTGCAGTTGGCATGTTTTTGAATTTTGAAGGCTGTGTTAGTTGGCAGAGCAGTTTAAAGAGGCTTTACCTGGCAAGCTTTTATTACTGTGTTTTATTGTTATTTTTAACAGATATCCATGACAGTCAATTCTCTCCTTGTCTTCCACTACTGATGTATTCAACACGAGGCCAAAGATTTTCAGATGTGACGCTTCTCCAGCAGTCAGAAATGGATTTTAATCCCTTAAGGTAGGATAAATTTCCCTGGTGTCATGACAGAATGCCAGCCTTTTTTCCCGAGTGGCCATGAATTGTCGTACATTTGATAATTAAGTAATTACAGTTTTATGGTCACAGAAATAAGACGAAGGTGTTGTTTAGTCTTTGTTTGTTTTGTATAAAGAGAAGGCATTGTCAGAGTTCTACTCCTCTTTTTATTTTTCCTTCAAAAGAGTTTGAACAAGGGAAAACCAGAACAAGCATTTTCTGAACTTGTCATCCTAAAGTACCTGAAGAAAATGGGAAAACCAGGAACTCCAGCCTCTCAGACGTCTTTTTAGCTTTCTTAGGCTCTGAGATAAAGTTCATGAAATCAAATACAACTTGTATTTAAAGTAGTACATACATGCATACATATACGTGTAATAATATTGTGTTTTGTATATGCTGGAGTAATATATGTTATGTGTACTTTAAAATATGTATTTTTATATAAAGTATGTATACATAAAGAAATAGCTATTTCAGTAAAAGTCATTGTCCAAGCCTTCATTTCAAGGTGTGGCAAATGATTCCATTTGTGCAAGGAAGTCAAGAAATCCTCTGCCCTTTATTAAAAAGAAGTAAAAAAAGAAAGTATGTGTATAAACACACATATTTACAGTGTCATTGATGTTTAGGCTTCCTTATACTTTTTTGGTGTGTGACAGGAGACCGATTTGTTTCCTAATGTGATACACTGTGACTTTACTTTGTGAATCAGAGCTTAGTTCCACCAGAGCTGGTGATCTACTTGGAGTAATGTTAACTGGGATTTGATGATCATTTTGATATAAAATAACTATTAATTCAGAATCTGCGATAAAAATATTAGAAGTTTACAGGAATTTGTTGCTTGTGTTCACCTGAGACCTACCTTAGTTTATATCCTTTAAAGAAATAGTTGATATAACAAAACTGAAGTAGGTGATTTATATTAAAAAACCAAAAAAACACAGGCAAATTTGTATGTGCGTGTAAGCAACTCCTATATTTTATTTAAATAATAAACATCCTGTTAGTAAAAAATACTTCAATCCTAAATAGCTTGAAAAATATTGACCTACTAAGTAGAAACTAATATTATTTTCAAACTTTTATTTTATAGGGCAGTAGAGCTTTTTGGTATTTTTTGGACTTTCTTTACATTTCTTCACCTTTTGACCTGTTGAGGGGATGTATTTATGTGTATGTTGCTAAACCCCAGTTATTGGTTTGAGTGAAGTTCTACTTTTTGCCTATACTATTAAAGCAGAGAATATGGATGTTGAAATAAAAAATATGATCAGAAATTCGCTTTCTTTTCTTGCCTCTTACAGAGGAGTCCCTGATGTTTCTGGAGCATTTGTGGAACATTCAAAGCCTTCGCACATCCGTGAAACTGTGTCACTGATGGACACGGAACCGTTCTCTGATGCATCCGGTGACTGCTTTACTTTGTCCCAGCATCCTCTTCCATTCAGTCACGTGGAACCTGATGATGCCAGTTGTCGTGGTGGTTCATCTCAGCGAACCTCTTTTTCTGGACGACTACTTGTGAGCAAGGAGGCAAACGAACACTGTACAAGTGGTCGTAATGAGGAGACATTGATTCCCCAAACAAGTTACAATTTAGCAAACAGCACTTCAAAGGTGATGCAAACCAAGGCAAATAGACTCAACCAAATGGAAACTTCTCTTGCAAAGCAAACCTGTAGCATGTCTGTAAAAGATGAACGTTTCTCCTGTGAGAGCAATGTGCCAGCTACTGGTTTTGAGCTTTCAGAGAAAGAAAAAGAGTTACTGAGGCATGATGAGTTCTCATCTTCAGAAAACTCCTCTTGTAAAACAGTACTGACTAAGAATTCAGTAAAAAGTGAAAGAGGGATGCAGAAGGAAAAGGTAAAAATGGCTGAGAGAGAGTCAGAAAAGTGCAGGAGATGGCTAAAGGAGCTGGAAAAAGAAAAGAAGGTTCCTGAGCTTGATTTGCCTAATAATTTATCTGATGATTTGAGGAAACGCAATCGTAAAAATTCAGATGCTCAAGATATTTTTTCTGCAAAAACTTCTGAAACGGGTGAAGGAATGCTGAAGGAACATAGAGTGGATTTAAATGGCTCTCAAAGCTTGAAGTTCATGACTCTTACTGAGGAACTCCGGGGAGATTTTCTAGATCATCAGCAGAAACCACTATTTCCTGCAGTGAGATCTGAGAAAGAGGAATTTATCCCTACTGTGACAAGCAGCACTGATTGTGCACCTAAACAACTCGTTTTGACTGACATGGAAGCTCCTGCTTCATGTAGTGAGAATATGCCAGTGGAAGTAGAACCTGGAGGAAGCAGGAGTGAATTAACTATTTCAGATTTTTCCATAGAAAGGGGGCATAAAGTTACAGGCATTTCCCCTTCCTTTAATCTTGTAGATGATGGCTCATTGTCTGTACACTTTGCTAATCCAAACTATCAGTCTACTCCAGGGATACTCCTAAAGAAAAATGTGAAGGCAGAAGAACTTGATGTCCCTGTGATCAAATCCGATATTCAGACCTCTCCTTCAAGCTTAAATGAAGAAACTTCAGGGAGTTCATCTACCAGTACACTTGTATCAGTTGAGAAGGAACGTTCACTCCAATGTACTCCGAAAGAAAACAATGAACGTTTTGAGTCCTTAAAATTGAAATATCCCAACACTGGAATAATTCAGTCTCTCCCATCGCTTAGTTTCATGGAGAAGGTATGGGCTTGGAACATGAGCCAGCCAGAGGAGGTATCCGATGCAGTAACTTCATGTGACCCAGGTGGAGTTTCTCCTAGAAGGAAGGCGTACAGTGCAATCATCAGTTCTTCAAACAGTATTTTGTCAACACAAAAAAGTGGTAGAGACCCCAAAGGTTATGTTGCTGCTTCCTCCAGAGAGACAGGTTCCCTGGGAAGTTTGCGTTTTCATAATAAAAACTTACTGCGTGCCCACCCTCTTACTAGATCTCAGCCTGATGACGTGGTAAATGTTTCCAGTAGGAGCACGTCCTTTGTTGAAGTTACTCCGCCAGCAAACTCAACAGAGGCAGTGCAGCCTCTAGAAGAAAAAAGTAATGTTTTAGGAGCGTCTGAAAATAGTTTAGGAGGCTCCATGATACAGAAGCTTACAGCTGAGGTTGTTTCTGAATCTAGTGATGAAGATGCAGAAAGTTATAGTACCGGAGAAAGTTCAGACACAAATGTCTTTGTTTCCAGTGAAGGAATTGCTCAGCTCCTTAGAGAGGATGGAAACTCTCCAACCGATGACCGGAAGAATTTTGATGACCTTGAGTATCAGTCTCACAACCTAAATATTCCTACTGGTCGTGTCAGCGTGGACAATTTTGGTGCTATTTCCCCTGATAGTTTGAATCTTCCTGTTAGTTCTGGGGAAAGTAGCCATGGAGGCTTGGGCTCTGCAGGGTGCTCTTCAGTGGTTTCCGGGCACTTCTTCACCAGTGCAAAAGATGATAACTTCATCCCTGTTGGAACAACTTCTTTGAGAACTCCAGAGAAAGAAGAGCTTAATATTGAAGAAAGGATCCCAGTAAGTCAGTTTCTAACAAATATTTGTAGTTCTTCTTTACCTTATGATTATGAAGAGATCCCAGTATGCTCAGCTGTCATAGAGGGAGTAGGACAGATGTGCAGAAGGTATCACAGGAACAAGAAACTAGCATGCTTACAGTTAGTTTGTGATATCCAGTCATGTTGGGAACCTGTCTCTAGAAATACTAGCAAATATGTCTTTTATGTACACCTAAAAAATATAATGAAAGACTCTTTATAACTGATTCTAATTTAAACTCTAGTTTCAGAGTTATCCCATTTTTTTCCACTGTTCTTTTAGAAGACTCTGGTAGGGTCTGCCTCACTACAGACTAAATGAAATGGTTTTACACTGGTCTGTACTACTGGTGAATTTCCTCCATGTTATTAGTTCAGCATATCTTAAATACAGAGGTAGAAAAACTAACTTTTAGGTAATATTTAACAGGGGCAAAGAAAGGGTTGGATATGGGAAAGATTTCCGCCCCCGCCCCCAGGTGTAGATGATAGTATCACGGTAACAGAATGCAAAAGAAGTGTAAAGGTTGGTGGCTGATGGTGGCAGAACATAAAGGACACAAGAACAGGACATAGCGATAAAAAGTGAAATCTGTTTGATAAAAGACTTGTAAATGGTTATAGCTCTTTTAGCAGAACATTGATAAGCCATTTCTGATCTTCCAGATTCTTTCAAAAGCTCAGGTTATAATTATCCAAACATAAGGTTGAGACTCAACTGCTGACTAAGGAAATGCTGGGCTGCAGAAGAGAAAGATGAACTTCACACACCCACGGATCTGCAATAATAGCAAAACCAACACAGAACTCCTTGGCAAATCAAATTGCCTTTTTTTCTATAAATACTCATTTTGCTTGTTCACTTTGTTCCAGTATCTAAGGCATACATTCTTGATTCTTTGTATATTGCTCATAAAGGATGTTCGAAGCCTCTGCATACCTTTCCTCCTTTATATCTTATTTGGCTAATGCAGACTTCTTTCCTCCCTTCCCCATTTTAGGATGGTTGGTGAGAATGGAGGGCAGGTTGTGGCAGCCATGTTAACTATACTAATAGCTGTTGAGAGTTAGAGAAAAATAAATGCGGATTTATGTTAATGATAAACATGTAATTATCTTCTGAGTAAGTGGCTGTTCTTCTCACAAGATGACTTCTATAATCATTAAGTCTTTGGAACTGTGTTTTAGAAGCACTCTTCACTCAGTTGTCTTTGCAAATACATGTTGAAACAAATATAAATATTGTAGGAGGATATTTTAAATGCAATTCATGAGATGTACAGGTTGTCTGTTACCTCCTTTTTTTAATGACTATAATTAGGTATGTTCTCCAGTCCTAATTCTGAGGAATTCTGTTCTCCTAAACCACTGACAAGGTAAAGGAGATTAGGTCACATACGTGGCTATTAATATGTAGGTTTATAATAAAATCATAGGGAATAGAGTTGGCTAAGATCTATAAGGTAATTTATTTCATTTTATTGGCTAGTTTAGGACATAGTCTAGATGAGTTGAAATTAACTTGCCCCTACAGGTGCTTAAGTCAAGGAAAATTTTGTTGGTGCTTTTTTTTTTTTTTCCCCAGCATATAATGTCTGTATGTAAACTTAGATGCTTTGTTAAAAGGGGAGAAATTACTTTCTTGGGAGATTCTAGACAGCCTTTGATAACCTCTTACCTCCACGAGACTCCTCCAGTTTTCAAAATACATCAATACAGAGAACGATGCTGTGTGTGTATGAACTGAAAATCTCCTGGATGTTGCAGAGAGGCTTGGTCTCATCCTCATAATGTTTTTTTCTAGTATATCGCAGAATTTTAGGGTTGGAGTATGATTTTTGTTTGGCTTCTCTAAACGAACTGCTTTGTTTAATGTTAATGAAAGTTATAATTGGATAGCAATTTTTATGTGTATATCTATATCTATATATATATGGTGTACAAATGCAAATAATGTTTGTGTGTATTTGTTCTGTACAAAAGTGATTTGAAAGTGATTCTACCCCTTGGCCAGTACAAGTTTATTCCCTATCGCAACATCACAAAAGCTGTTTCACGGTAGCCCTGACAAAAGGGTTCCCAATTATTTGCCTTGAAGACTAGCCCATAATGAAATTATCCTTAAGAGTGAGGAACTTCCCTGCTGCCTAGCTTGAGTTTCAAAGTCTGTTAAAGTTTTCTGTGCAGCAATCATTTGGGGAGGAAAAAGGTTTTTAAACCAAACCTTTGTGTTCTCCTTCCAGCTGGCAAATGTCATTTTAAACAGGTGAGGCTTAAGTTTCCCAGTCTCCTCTGAAGTATCTGACTTCTTGTTCGTGCAGTCTACAGAGCATACATTTGAGTAAAAAGAGTATAAGCAGTCGGCTGTTGTCACAAGAACAAGATACGTGGCCTCTTCTTTGCTGACCTTTTCCATCATTTCTGGATCCTGTGGAAAGGGCTGGACACTGTTTGGTGGTAGCAGGCTACTGCCAGTTGCAATCTTTGGAACATGATGTCAAGAAATGTCAAGAAAGCCCCAGGAAAAAACTGTTGGTGAGCGCAAGCACAGGCTATCACCACCAGAACAGTTCTTGCAATTTATTTCTGAATTGCTGCCAAACGTAAATTAATGAGAAATAGATTGCAGGATATGTCAGTTGTTCTGCTGGGCTGCACGTGGCTTGTGAGCTGTCCACTATGTAGACCTGGTCATGCTAGCTAGAAAAAAGGCTTGTCACTCGGGGTCCAAAGAATAGAATAAGCTGGAAATATTGTCTCATATGTGACTGCTTTAGTGCTTTGGGTAAACTGTTAGTGCGAGTCGAACAAGACTGAGGCTCAAGATGTTTTAAAGCAAGCTGTTTGCGTTTAAGATGATGCGGAAAACGTGCAACTTCAGAATCCGTTGACATTCTGTAAGAGTGCCATATGTGTTACTTATTTCTTCTTTTGCCAGATATATCTTCGCAACCTTGGCATTGATCAGTCACCTGGAACTATACTGACGCCGTTTGTACCCCGAGGACCGATCAGGGAAGTTGAATTTTCCCCTTCGGAGCTTAGAACGCTGAAGAACTCCACTGACACCCTGAGGAGGGCTGCTCCGCAGCCGCAAGGTATGGGGAAGAGAAGATCTTGTGCTTTGCAAGCTTTAGAGGACACAGAACTTCAGACTCACCTGTGAGGCTGATTTTGGCTTGGTAGTGTCAAGTGTATTTCTTCTCATCTGATGCTCTGTTTCATTCATATGAGTTGATCTTCTTCCATCTGAAATGTGAGATATTTGACATTGGAAAAGTAAGCATTAAAACCTTTGAAAACGTGCCTTCTCACAAAGGAGTCATGACTATGTGGCATCTTCTAGCCAGTGCAGTGGCGTTTTCTTTTTTTTCTTTATTTCTCTTTTTACAAGAGTTCTTAAGAAGGAAATGTTTTGTATCTGAAGATTAAAGAAATGTTACCAGACTTTTTTTTTCCTGTGGGAGAAATAAGTCTTGGTTTCTCTTTCTTTCTGAAATTTCTTGGTGTGCTCAGTGTGACAAAAAGTCATACACATTTTATAACTGACCAGATCAGTTCATAAATCCATCCATCTCAACATTAAAAAAAAAAACAAACATATGACCTTAGTAAGTGTTGAGTCATTTCTATACGAAGAACAGAGTGTGCTTGGTTAGGGTTAAGATGTTCTTCAGTGGCACGCCCATGTGGTGTGTCATTAAGATGTGAAAATGTGCATTGCAGCTACTTCAAATGTGTATTTTCCTTAGCATATTCTGTTTTGGTATTTGCATCTTGTACCCAGTGGGGAAGAGCG